AAACTGAGCATTCAGGCAAAGCGATAATGTGCTCGGTTCATCAATACGTCACCTAATTGCAATATTGCTCTGACATTTTCGGACATGTCTGCTCCCGTCGCAAGCTGCCAGCTGGCCGGGCACACTGGAGAGAACGCCTGACTCCCGGCACATTGTTTTAAAAACTCCCGTTAGCTTTCCCCAATGAGTGGAAGTTAAACACCGATATTAGTCAGACAGTTAATATCTAGTTGTAAAATGTTTGGTATTCCTGAGCAAATCGGTTTGATTGATTACAGTTAAACCTTCAAACATAACATTTTTTATTTAACTGTAATGGCTTATCTGAGATCTGGAGAGTATTATATTTGAAAATGAATAATTTGCTTATTTATTCCTGATAGAAACGGGTTTGAACATTTTAGAACTAACAGATTTCTTTTTTCTTCTTTTCTTTTTTACTGTTGAACAGCCTTTACTACAAATGTAAAGAATAATACAGAAACCAGGAGTAATATATGGCTTAAAAAACAAACTGGCTCCGATGTTTTTTCTTCGCCGCTCTGCTTCAGGCTGTGACGGTTGCTAGGCAACATAAATTACGCTAAGGCGTGTGTGTGGGGGGCGAGGGGGACAGTGGAGCATATGGGGTGAAGGCTAGATCCTGATTTCTGTATTATTCTTTACCTTTATAGTAAAGGCTGTTCCATAGTAAAGATGAAAGAAAAAAAGAAAAAGAAATCTGTTAGTTTCATTTTAAAATGTTCAAACCCGTTTCTATCCGGTCGTCGTTTATTCACGGCCTCGAAGGACTCGGTCTCCGTAGAAGGCCGAAGGATGCAGACCCTGAATTCGAACACAGCTATCCACCTTATTCCTAGCCCCCATGATGCTTTGCGTGATTTCAACATATTCAATCATAGACATGAATATGTATTCTATGATTGAATAGACTATTCACTGAACTCAGATCCAAAACCTCTCAGCATTCTGGGAGATGTAGGCACAGGGACAAACAAAGATAAAAAAAAATCATCTGTTTGAACATTTGATATGAAGAATATCTGCAGTTACGATACTTCACCACAGGAGGGCAGTAAGAACTAAATTACTTTAGCTTTTACTTCAAGCTTTATTCGTTTCTGTGGAAGCCCGTTTCCGCTGTTAAACTCTGTTAAAGAAATAAAATAAATTATCTCATTATTTTTGAGATACTATCTCATTATAATGAGATAATTTAGTTTTTTATTTTTTTTAACAGAGTGGCGGAAATGGGCTTCCATACATTTCCAACTGGAGTCAATTTTATTTATTTTTTATAGTGGCAAAGAGTCCCCAGTAGATGGCGATAGAAAGCAGCACGCTTGATGATGAATAGCAGAGAAGAAGATTAAACCACCTTTTCACAGCAGAGGACTGAGCTGAAACTAAACGTTAATAAAACACTAAGATAATGTGAACAGCGGAGGTTAACCTGTGAGGGACCAATGTTCAGGTGCAACTTGGGATCATCAGTGAAGTACTTGGCCTCTCTATCAGCTCTGGGACGCCATCACATCCTGCAAAACAGGTGTGTTTATTATTATTGTTAAGAGATGTACTCTGAACTCATAACTAGTGATATCACAAAAAATAGTACTTTTTTGTTATTTCCAAATAAAAGCACTGGTATGGAAATTTGAGCATTAGGGTGGTTGTTTTAATGCTCAATGTAAATTAAAACACAACTTTCTTTTACAAGGCTATCCAATTTAAATGTTTCTGTTTCCCAGCTGTACTTGCCATGAAAGTGAAGCTGTACAGAGTTAAACAATAAGTGTGCAATAGGGAAAAAAAGTCCAGTAAGTTGCACAGTTAATCATCAACCATTGTTGACTTGACATGTTTCCTGACCCTCCTCCTTGTAGTCGTTGCTTTTTGTGCAGGATGTCCACTTCACCAAACCCAGTAGCTGCAGTCTGTCAAGTTACGGCGACCCCAGACAAGGAGGCCAATTTCTCTGGCTGTAAGCAGCTGCTGGAGGAAGCCAGGCAGCGAGGGGCTTGCATGGTGTTCCTGCCAGAGGGGTTTGACTACATTGGATCCAGCAGAGAGGAGACACTGTCGATGTCAGAGCCTCTGGGAGGCGACATAATCTCCCGATACACTCAGCTTGCCAGGTGGGGCAACACAACTTCCAGTCTATTGAGCAATTATGACATGGCGTTAAAATATGGTCATTAAAAGAAATGCTTATATGTTTGTGCACAGTAGTGAAGATATAAATATTTTCTCCCTAAATTATAGGAGTATTTGAAATATATTAATCTTAATTTTCTATTTTTTATTATTATTATCTTAAACTCTTTGTTTCAGGAAGCTGGACGTGTGGCTGTCTCTGGGAGGATTTCATGAACGAGGACACGACTGGGAGAACGACAGACGTATTTACAACAGCCATGTTATCATTAATAGCAAAGGTGCAGTGCATCTTTAGTTATATTTGAGCCAAATGAAAAACCAGAGGCAATTGTGGAACATTTACACTTATGAATTGTCATTAAACCAACAGGTGACATCCTGTCAGTCTACAGAAAGTCCCACCTGTTTGATGTGGAGCTGCCGGAGAAAGGTGTGTCACTCAAAGAGAGTGCCTTCACCATCCCTGGACCCTCCCTGGTTCCTCCAGTCCAGACTCCAATTGGCAAGGTGGGGATTTTATTGAAACAGTAGCCGTCTCGTCATAACCCCACACAAGTCCTTGTGTTGACAGGTTAGGTTTGTAAGCCAGAAACGATGAGAGTTTTCAGGACTGAATGAGACAAAGCACCGCCAGGTTACATTTTTACTGTAGCTTTGATTTGTTGGCATCGTTTTTGTTTGTGTGCTGCAGGTCGGACTGGGCATCTGCTATGATTTGAGGTTCCCTGAGTTGTCGCTTGCTTTGCAAAGACACGGTGCAGATATCCTTACGTATCCATCTGCCTTCACGGTAGCAACAGGAGCTGCTCACTGGGAGGTAGGATCACAGTGCTACGCTACAGCAATATTATGCAACGACTGCTTATCGGTAGCGAGGCGTCCGTCATAATGTTCCTATGATTTGAAGTACTTCGAGGAATGAAGTGGGAAACCTACTTTATTTGTTTCATATCATATTTTATCATTATATTTCAAATCTTTGCACGAAAACCATGAAAATGTGATATTTTAAGCTGTAGGAATAACTTACCTGTCCATGCAAAAACCAAAATCTGAACATAATTTCAGCGTAACAAGTAAAGTTTGACTGATCGTTCCGTGATCCGTTTCCAGGTGTTACTCCGTGCCCGTGCAATAGAAACGCAGTGCTTCGTCCTGGCAGCGGCGCAAGTAGGCCGGCACCATGAGAAGCGTTCGTCTTACGGCCACGCCTTAGCCGTCGACCCCTGGGGGGAGGTGGTGGGTGACTGTGGAAGGGAGAAGCCAGGGATGGTGCTGGTGGAGGTCAACCTGGACAAAGTCAGTAGGACCAGGAAGAACATGCCTGTCCAGCAGCACCGCAGGGACACTGCTTTTTACCACAGTATGAGTCAAACCTGTTTGTGATTAAAAGTGGAAAGATAAAATTGTCTATTCAAGCAGGACTGAATGTCAGAATTTCACTGATAAATAAATAAGAATAAAAGCTGTTCCACTTCCTACACAGTCTTGAAAAGTTAGGGTAAGTAAATTGTTGTAAATTCATAGGAAATATTTGTACTTATGTGATGACTTGCAAACCTGAAGTTATTGATTTGAATTTTGAGTCCTACTGTAATTATTTTAAAATTTTCTTGTATTTCTAGACTTTATTCTTTGACAAAGTCAATCAGATCTGTTTCCTATCTGTAAATGTTACACATAATGATCACTAGATGGCACTGTTGGACTAAAAGCACTCAGGATCCCGAGCAAGGTTGGGCATTTACTGATACATAGCAATTTAAGGTTATTAGAGGTATAATTGCAATTAATTTTCTAACTTAATAGACATAACAAGATTTATATTATGAAACCTGTATGACCATTTTATAAATAAATGGTTTAAATTAAAATGATAAAAGGGAGTTTCTACATAAATGGTCAATAATTATTTAGTTCAGGTTTAGCATGTGGTATTGAATGCTGGGATGTTCCCATGCTTCTGCATTATATAGAATGTATTACATTTTGTTTTGATCACACCAGCGCTGCCTTCCTCAACCCATCAACTGTAGAAAAATTGACTTATGGCAAATATGAAGTGTTGGTGAAAATTTCTCACAGCTGCAATATATTACACTTTTTTTGTTTGTTTATTCAGTGGAAATTTTTTTATGAAGTGTAAGATCTAGCTCTAAAAAGGCAACTTAAGAGATTGAAACCAGGGCAAACAAATCATTGCTCTTTTTATCAACAATTGCAAATGTAGTTTTTATTTATTTAGATAGATAGATAGATAGATAGATAGATAGATAGATAGATAGATAGATAGGTGTACTTTATTCATCCCAACCGGAAAAATACTGTGCAGTTGCAGCGTTTGAATTAAAAATGGTTGAATTTAACCACGCAAACCATATTTTCCACATGACTTCTTTAAATAAAACACTGTCGTTCACAACTTGATTCCCAAAAGCCATTATTATGTATTGAAAGTTTTGGTCCCAACGCTCAGCCTTGATGAACTCCGCGACTGATTGCTGGGAGAACCTGTAGTTATAACATCCAAAACTGATTTCTGTCTGTCAAATAATTACACAACCATAAATAAAAATAATTGCTTTGGCAATTATGACTTTATCACTTATCTTTTTGTTTGAAACTTTATTATGTGTTTATTTTTGCCTTGTGGACAAATATTTTTGTCGTTGTTTCAAATCTTGTCGTTGTTCTCTCCCTTGTGCAGGTGTTCCACATCATCATAGTTCCTCTTTGACTATAACACCAGTTTGCAATTTATGTTTTCATTTCAACATGGCAAAGGTGTGTATGAGTAGCTACCTCGCAGCTCATCTTAGACCCGCCCTTCCTGAGACTAAAAACCTCAAAGGACCTTGTTTTCCTTCTTCCTGGATGAATTATTGATCAGAAGTCCTCTTTCCAGCCGGCGCTGCTGGGATGATCGCTGGGATGGGAACAGGAAGTTAACGTCACCGACAGAGAAATGAGACTGACGAAAGAAAACACCACCACCACCATGATGATGATGATGTTGAGGGGGAGAACGCCAAACCCGTTAGTTTAGAAGAGTAAAAAGAAGAGAAATACGCCTAGCTTAATCTGAGGAAAAGGATGAGTTGCTATGTCGGGGCTGGAACTGAGGCATCAGGAAGGTACGCTGTTTGTTGCTTGTTTTAAATCTGTCGCAGCTGTAGAGGTGAAGGGTTCGCTGACTGTGCTCTGAGGTTTTAACACCCGAGACCAGTCATCCATCCTTCATCTTTAAGCTGTAAATGCGGTGAACTCTGATTTATTTCTCCCCCCTCTTTGCAGCCGAACAGGTGTTCTGTAGTTAGCCAACTAGCCGTGGAGGCTACCTCCGTTAGCATGAGCCCCTTGTTGCAGTTGATGTGAACTGAGTGGAAATTCACCAGCCTGGATGAATGTCTGAACTCATGTTGAGGATATTGTCATGGAAGAGGGCCTTCGGCTGCAGACAGAGCCCACTTTTAAGCTCTGTTGCATGCGAATGGCTTCCTGTTGCTGTGTCTTCTGTCCTGGTCATTTCCATCTGGGGACTACAGATGTAACAGATGCTAACGACACTTAGCGGGCGAGTGCTAAAGGGACTGAGTAACTGACCTCGGTGTTGCAGACACGGTTTTTTATATATATAATTTACTTACTCTGAAAAATCTGAAATGTACAGATACTATTTATATACGCTTCTCTCATATTACAACTTAAGCGTGTTGTATCCTGCGGAAGCCAAAAATGTAAGCATTGGGACTGGTTACCACGGTGGTATTTTGGGTTGAATCCGATTAGTTTGAAATTCAGTCAGTTCCTCTCAAATTACATGAACATTTAAGTGGGTGTCACTTTTGCTACACTTACTGGGACCTTCAATGACTGCTATGTAAATAAAACACTTGTCAAGTTGATTAGAGTGTTCAGTGACATTTAATTAGCAATCCGTCAACCCCTAGTTTTCCTTGGGATATATGGAGGAGAGCAAGCTCATTTACTTGAGCTACTCTTCAAAATGGGAACAATAAGTGAGATGTACTCTGAAGTTCATGAGTCAGGAAATGACTTTAAGAAAAAAAAAAAAAATTCAGTCAAAATATTAATTAAGAAATGCAAAACTTTAGCTGTTAAAAGCAAGACTTCACAAGCACCCCACTTTATTTTAACACTACTGATGCACCGATTGTAGTTTTCTGGTCGATCGCTGATCTTTAAAAACCCTAGCCTGCCGATTCCGATTTTGACCAACTCTTTTCTTTTTTTTTTGTTTTGTTTTTGTTTTAACTATCAGTGTCAGATGCTATAAAGTTAAAATACGCCTTCAATGAATCTTACTGTATTTTAAAACATGGAAATTAACTAATCTAAAAAAAAAAATCTGTTCCTTTAGATTTCCATTTTCCACATTTTCAAAACAAAACTTACACAACAGTATAGACTACAATTCTCTTTTGAGCCTCTTACCAAAGTGAAAGTGCACATCAGTATTTTGCTTTTTACAAAGTCACAAGGCTTGCGTGGCTTGAGATCAGTTGAAAACAAAATAACAAAGGAACTTAAAAACCACCAACAAGGTGTCTTGATTTCTAGGTTTTTTTTTTGGTTTTTTTTGGATATTGATCGAGGATAAGTTTCACAAGATCACCAACACACCTTTAATCAGCCGCTCCACTGAAAACCAGCCCAGTGTAAACAGAGGCGTAGGTTTTCTTTAATGTAAAAACAAAATGCCCAGTTGCTCATGTAGATATCTGCCCATTACTGATAACCCAAAATCAAGTCTATCAGAAGGGATTGATTGGTACACCCACATGTTTTACCACATGCAGTGTCAAGATGAGTCTTTTCCCATCTGATCGTTTTAATTAACCGCCAGTGGGCCAAGAAAAGCAGCTTTGCTTTCTGATGTCGCTTGTTCATCAGATTTACAAACGTACCAGAAACACAACACAAAACAAAGGTTCCGGGCTTGGAACTTTGTTACAAAAAATAATGGTAAAAAAGAAAAAGCGGAAAAAAAAAATGAAATGCAAAATAATAGTAAAAAAAAGAAAAAAAAGAAATGGAATTAATTGAGATAAAATTGATGTAATTATTTGAAATTGACACGTTAAATTCCCGGCCTTAGCATATTTTTAACTTGGTGTTTAGCTAAGTAAATGTGTTTCTTTCAGAAATGCAAACAGTTTCTCCTTGAAAAGGAAGAATGAGGGTGAAAACAATCTTGATCAGTTTGTATTAGTTTTTAAAGAAAATCTGCTTTAGATGAAGGTAGTGTTTATAGGTGAAAAATTAGATTTTTCTAACTAAATCAGCACTAAAAATGTAAACGACAAACCGCAGAAGATTAGAGGTCAAACAAGATAACATGGCATGGAGTAAAATTACATAAATTACCATCTGAAGTGGTGAAAAAGTGTGTTTGTATCAGACAAGTCTGTTTTTCTTTTTTTTACAAACTACATTTGTCTTGCCGTTTCTTTTTCTTTCTTTTTTTTCAAATTAGTTCAACATTTAAAAAGGTATTATCAAATCTGCTGTGTCTCTTAGCCGTCTATCCTTGAGATTAGTAGCAATGATGAATGTTAAGCATGAACTGAGGTTAATGTTTACTTGCCGCTGTGTGCTGGTGTGTGTGCTTGACATTTACGGTTGGCTGACGCTGTTGTGCTAAGTTTAACCTTTTCTACTCAGCGGTAGCAGACGGGTCAAACCAAAGGCACCACAGAGCTCCTCATTTGATTTGCCTTTGCTATTGAGTTAATCTGCCCTCCTGATTCTGTTTGGTCTGCTGTCGGTGCTCTCCTTGTTTTTCTATCAACAAGGTTTCCTAGTTCAATTCCATCTGCCAGCTCTGATTTATCATTTGGTTGTTTATAACCCTTCTCATGTGCTTTTCTGTTTATCAGGAAGAAAATCTAATTAAATTAGACAAACCAAATGGTTGCGAGCCGTTTCTATTAGGTTGAGGTTCAGTCTAGTCAAGTTTTTTTTCCCTCTCTTTATTAGGAATGTCTTCCTCTTAATAACATTTGTGACATATCTTTTTTGTGAAAGATCAATGTGATTCTGTATTTGTAGAACAACTTAAGCTATACAAAAAGTTATCATGGACCAAATTCCATATTATTGGTAATCCTTGAAAATCTACCTTCTCTGTGGTCATTTGAAAAATAAATCTTTTTGTGTGTGCAAGGTTTCACCCAGAGAACTTGCTCAGTCCGATGGTTGGGTGTTAGGGCAGTCATTCATCCAGCGGCCCGTCGTGTTTTTGAGTTTAAAAAAATGTTTAAAGTTGACAGGAAATATGAAAATATCACTCAATAATTGTGTTATTGAAAGATTGGAAAATTAATACCTGAACACCAACTATAAAGTCTTAAAAAATGCAAACATTTCAAAAAAACTTGAATAAATAAGCAATGCTAAGCCTGGTGGCCCGCCAGGCTTATAATGCACTGGGGGAAACCCTTTGTTTGTAAGTGTTCTTCATAAGTTACAACAAGTGTTCAAACTTGATAAAACTATTAAATTGTTGAATATTTTTTACTTTTTTATTTGTAGAGACTTGGAAGTGAATATTTTTAGTCTTTTATAGATACTAATATGGTAGCAAAACCCCTGGGTCAGTGATGACATATAAAGTATTAAATAAAATTGTTAAAATCTTGGAAATCTTGGAATGCGATATATTACCCAGCCATAAAAAAAATCTGAAAAGAGAAAAATAAGCTATTTCTACTGCTGCTGAACTATTGATTATGACACTACAATATTGCTATTTTCTCCTTGTGCCGAATTTCATTATTTTTGGGGGGAAAAGTGCAGCAAACTTCTCTTAGCCAGCTTCCCAGCAGTGTGCAGCAACAGATGCTATGTCTTTCTTGTGGAGTAATGATAGAAGTGCTGTTTACTATGAGTAAAAGCTCGTTTCTGCATGCATTGGAGCTGATGTTGCTGATGTGTGCGTCGAAGTATCGACCCTCTGTGTGGAGGAGGCGTGAGGCTGTCGGTTGGAGTAAACGCTGAGTCACGTCTCGGCAACAATCGTCTGGGCAGCACCTCCATGGCGACCAGCTGGAGAGAGATAAGCTCGCTCACCGCTCAACTAAATCGTGCAGTTTGTTCCTATGCTGCTGATTGTTGCACCGTTATCGACTGATTTATTATTTAAAAGAAAAAAATTCTCTTCTCACCCACGTCCCCAAATCCTGAATTGTAATCTATCCGCCCGAGCATTTCTTTCTACGTTATCAACACGCCGCAGTCCTTCTGACGTATTTATCTTTGATTTTTAGTTACAAAACATCAGGCGAAGCAGCAACCAGAAGCTTTTATAACTTTAACCATGAAAGGTCAAGCATTCGTTAAGAAAGAAAGTAGCAATTTCATAATAAAGTTGTGTAGTGGAAAAGAAAATGCGTGGCCGTTTGTTTCCCATGGCTAATGACGTGGCATGAATCAGCGCCCCCGGTGTGTTAAAAGTGTGGACCAGCTTTAAATGTCAGCTCGACTGAGCTTCAGACAAAGAAGCTGCTTGTGCCATGAGACGGTCTGAGAAATGCAACCAATCACAAACCCACAAACGCGTTGTCAAAAGACAAGCAGCACTTACTGTGAATTTGAGCAGTTTTCTACTTGGACAGTAATTTTCATTAGATATTAGTCAAATGTTTCGTGGTTGGCGTCAGGATAGCAGGGAAATATTTAAAACTGCTCACTGGGTTTCCAATCAGCAGAGAGAATGAGTTTTTCTCAACAGCAGCCTGACCTTTTCTCATTTAACATGAGGTAATAAAATTGAGTCGCGTGGCCTAACCCAGAGGATCCGTGGCTTCAGGGTCTGAAGGAGCTGAATTGAATTTCCTGGCCTCTCGGATTTGATAAAGCTCAGGAGGAGTTTCTGACGCGTGGCGAATCGATTTGAATGTTGCCTCTGAATGCTGCCTGCTGTTTTTCTTGCCTTATTCAGGTGTTTCCTACCAATTTTTTTTTCTGACAGGAACACATTTTTTGGGTGGGGCAATACCAATTTCTTTTTTTTTTTTTTTGTATTCCTGCAATAATAAACACTATGATGCCTTATAGATCAAAAATAGTGCAGGTTCTTAATTTTGAACCATTACCTTGCTTAAAAGAGGAAGAAAAAAAATATTTTTCAGTCTAGTTTGACCAATCATAGCCACTCAGAGGAAAATCATTCAGTCCTGATCTCAGACACATTGATTATGACTGCTGCTGGTAATTTAGCCTCTTCACTATTTTGCGCTTTTGCTAATTTATATGTTTTTATGCTGAAAATTTTTTTGTAATGGAGCCATCGTCCATAGAACATTTTGGGCATGTATGCATCAATTTGGAGATGTTTCATACATGCTCTGACAGTCGATGATTAGATGTAATTTCCTTATAGTTTGCGGTAATCACATGGGTCATAAAGGCTTGATAATCTCTCCATTATATTAATAAGAGGTGCCTGGTCTGTAATTACGCTCATAAAAAATGCCAGCATTTACGCAGATGAATGATTTAAAAAAAGGCATCTAGAAAGGGAGTCGTTTTTCAGAGGAGCCTCTGAACTGGTTTAATTTAAAGACAGTTGGGAATATTAGCTGCACGTCTTTGCAGAAGGCTTAAACAGTAGATATGTCTTATATTGTGACATGTAAATGAAAAAAGAAGAATCCGAGCTGACTAAGGATGTCCTACATTTTCACAGACTTCCGTTTGCAATGGTCAGACCACAGGAAACAGACGCGTGATCTGAAAAAAAGATCGGTTTGCTGTTTTAGCACTTTTTCAGTTCTGGGGAAGTAAATTTCCCTAAGAAACCAAGAGTAGCTATATGTATGCACTTCTATATCTTCATCTGCCTTAAGCTTTCTCTTGATTTATTATTTTACAGTCCAAAGCACAAACGCACAAAAGAAACATTAGGTAATGAATTTGCTTACATTGGCCTGTTGAACTCTCTCCTTTTCCATTAGTGCTCTGACTCCCTGTGTCTCCAAACTAATACTTCCTTTAATATCTTCAGCTTATCTCTGGTTCTCTGGTGTCACTGGACCGGGACTTCACTGCAGGCAGAGGATCATTTTAGGTCACCTCTGTCCGAGTCCTGTAGTTCCCTGCTTGTCCACAGGGTGGAGTTGTTTGAAAGAAAGTGGTGGTTCATTCTAGATTCAGGAGCAGCACTTTTATCAGTTATCAACTCTCCTAAACATCTGAGAAATTAACCTTTTTTAATGCCTACATTTACCCAGGTGTGTAAGGTTGTCGTGTATTTTGGTGTAGAAATGTAGCTGTTTATACATGAAGGTGAAATAATATCTCTAGGTCTGAATGCAACAAGGCAGAAGACGAATGTTTAAAATGTAGAGGAAAGGTCAAATTCTTTGTCGCATGTAGAAAGAGGCCTCACACGGACCTTCGGTTCATATTTTCCACTACATGTACCATCCGCTTCAGCCTGGAAGAAACTAAAGGGAGCTTTAGCTCGCCATTGAGAGCTAACTAGGGCTGCACCAGTTGGGAGTTTTCTGGAAAATCACCAATATTTAAAAAGCCCGATAATACCGTTTTAATGACTGACACAATAAGGTCACAATACACTTTCATTATTCCAAACTTATTGTATTAAAATGCATTTAAAAATACCCTTTAGACAATACAAACTTATTTCAGCTGCACATAAAGCGGTGCTCCTAAATACATCTGGAAAGTTTAGCGCATTATTGCCCAAACCACTGAATTAGCCAAATGAATAAAAAAAACATTTCACATTTTAAACTTGCAAAAAAAGTTATACTACAGATTATCATTGTTGTTGGTTTTTTTTGGCTCTACTGGAGAAGAAATGTGGCAAAGATCAATGGGCCGAGTCTTGAACCCGTGACACATGGGTCGCACGCTCACCAAAATTGCATTTCAAATAATAATTATTCAGGTTAAATAGGGAACATGGGCAGAAATGGGAGGTAATGCAAACTAACTACTTTGTATTGGGTGTTAAATGTTTGCAGCATTTCTCAAAATGCCGGCTTTTCAACCATATTAAAGAGGAGCATCTCTTTAAAGAATTGTCGCGCTCTTTTTAATTTATCATGCAATTTATGATTTATTGCTTATTGTGACAGGCTTTCTGAATGCCGCTTTAGGCTTCTGCACATCTCCTGACCCGTCTGCTGGGTTCCTTGGTCTTCATAATGCTGTTTGTTCACCGATGTTCTTTAATAAACCTCTGAATTCTTCACAGAGCAGATGCATTTAGATACACTTGTTTTATTATTTAACTAATTGGATGAATTGTAAAGGCAATTAGTAGAACTGGATTTTATTCAGGGTTATCAGAGTTATTGGGGCTGAAATCAAAAGCCCATAACTCTTTTCAGATGTTTGTTTGTAAAAAAATAATGTTGAAAGCCATACATATGGCCAAATCAATGAATACCCAGTATTTCGATTCAACTTTACAAAATGTGATAAGTTTTATGAATACTTTTGTAAGTCACTCTAGCTCAGGATAAAGTTGAGATTTACAGGACTCTACATGTGTGTGCGAATGCGTCACTTTGTGCTCATCCAACTTTGGTATTTATCCACTTCAGACGACGGTGTGCATGCTAACAACCCACCCTTACCTGTCGGTGTGTAGCAGCTACGACCCACCCCACCTCCGTAGAGTCTGGGATGTAGCCTCCTCACAGCACAGCCTGTCTGTATCTTCACCACTCCCCCTCCTCACTCCCTCCTGTATCATTCAGGGTAACGGCGCGTTGCTAAATGGAGTCGGAGCAGCTCTACCACAGAGGCTACTGCAGGAACAGCTACAACAGCATTGCCAGCGCCAGCAGTGACGAGGAGCTACTGGATGGAGCCGGCATCATCATGGACTTCCACACCACCGAGGACGACAACCTGCTTGATGGGGACGCTGCCTCCCCAGGTAGGGAAGATGCCCCCAAGCTCCTCCCCCAAAGAATCTGATTGATTTTTGTCTGGAAACTCTAGCTTCCCCCTGTCACAACTCAACCATGTTTTGATCAAACTTTGAGCGATCAATGGCATTCTGTTTTTGCCTTCTCGTGAGAGTGTAACCGAAATTGACGTCTTCAGTTCACTCTTGTGGTTGTGAATCGCCTCATTGTTGAAGTCAAGGTGTTACACCACATCCGCATGTACGTGTTCACCTGTCTTGTGTCTTCTTCATCCAGATCCTTAGAAAACATTCTGCTCATTCTTCCAAACAGCATCACAATCCTTCTGTCATTATCATCTAGAAACCCTTGCACATGGTTGTACTTTCGTTGAGGTCAATCTTGAACTGGATACGAGTCCAAGGCTGCCGATTCACACTCCTTGGTGCTGCGTTTTGGTTGAATTTTACTCTGGAAATTTAGCTTTGCCTTCTTTGCAGTATGAGTCAAGTCTCACTGTAGTTGGTTAATGTTTGATAGGTGTGTCATCATTGATAGTGTGTTCCTCATTATGTGGGTGTGGATATGGCCAAGAATGCGAGTTTTGGTCGATGTTCCGATGATGATGTTTTGCGTCTGTACTCTTGGATGACCTGTCTCTCTGGAATCTCTTGGTATATTTCTTTAACGGCTGTCATGTCCAGATTACACTGATGCGCTCTTCAACAAGTACCAGCGTTGCTGATCCAATGATGTCAATCCATGGGGCACTCAATGATGCAGTCATATGCCAGTCAAATCGCTTGCAGTAAATAGCCAGTTTGTACCACCCCAGAAAGGTGGCCCCAGAAATGGACAAGAAGTGCACAGGATCTGCAAATGGAGACAAATCTGGCTTGGGCTAATTGGGGAAGAACTGGTTGAAGCCACGCTGTTGAAGAAGGGGCTTTCGCTGTCCGCTAATATTTAGACCGGAAATGTTGGTGGATATATTTGTGATTGATGAAATCTTGATATTTGGTAAACGAAAACAGGATGATAATAATGCGGTTTTGGCATCTTTACCACTTTAGGTAGGGTCCACGTTAAACATGACGTTTTATAAAATAGTCTTTTTTTTTTTTTTTTGCATAAGAGGGTTTTATTAAAGTTTTTTGTTACTACATCTTTACCCGATTGATGCCCTACTTAAAGACTTCACTTGTGAAACTTTGAAACAGTTTGTGAAATTTGAAAATAAAGTTTTCAAATTTTTAAAATGTATTGCGTTGACAACATTTTAGCAAAGTCTTCATGTCATCTACATGTCAAATTAAATATGGCGTTGGCAAATCCTGAACTGTTTTATAGAACCGGTCATTGGTGTAAAGTAGGTAAAACAGGTTTGACCAGTTTAGATGGTAGTATCATCTAAATCTGATTTGGTAATTGTAAATTCATTAAACTTGGAGGCTAGAGCAGATTAGAAGTAGCCCATAGTCGTTAATAGCGGTAAAAAAAAAAAATCCCTTTAAGTCATTTAAGCTTTTCACGCTACTTCTCTGTCACATGCAAACGAGTAATTTTGACACTTTCTGTAAGACTTTTACCAGCTTTTTCCCTCCATAAATTCCACATCACTGGTGTTCAAATAAGATCTCTGTCTCTCTCTCTGTCGCTCTCTCTCTGTCGCTCTCTCTGTCTTTCTGTCTCTCTCTCTCTCTCTGCCTCTCTCTCTCTCTTCATTTCCTGTTCAGGTGAAGCAGTTCTATAGCTGAATGTGAATCTGGACGTGAAAGGATCATTCTGATGCATCTTATGTAATTATCAGTGTTTTAAATATAAGTGTAGCTTTATAGGTGGAAACATGGAAACAGTGTAATTGTTTTGTGTTGGCTTATACGACACCTTAAAGTGACAAACATTATTTAGGTAGGATGTTGTAGGTTGATGTCAGGATCTGATTGGAGCTGGAAAGAAGTCAGTCATCTGTTTTTGTGGGATTAAATATTTCAGTTCTTTTGTGGTTCTGTTTGTTTGGATCCGGATCTCCTGGTCTAACTTTAGCGCTTTGGACTCCCAGTTTCGACGTCACAACTAGTCTTACCTGTCCAAGTTGTTTTAATATTGCTTGCATAAACTGAATTCCTAGTTCTGGGCGTGAACCCGCTCACACCCCTGCCTACCTTCATGTTTCAAGATTTTCAAATCCTCCACGTTTCATTTTTTCTTTTAGTCATACGTTTTTGCTTTATTCAACAACTCAGTGACCCTGACAGACTTTGTTTGTCATTTCCACACGCAGGCTAGTGTGTCCAGTTCCCTCTTCCTTCCTCCCTCACATTTCCTCGCTGATCAAAAAGAAAACGCATTCTGTTGTTACAGCGGCACAGGAGCTCAATTTGGAGTCGGCAAATGCAAAAAGTGAGCGTTTCATTTGAGCATCTTTACAACTTAAATTGGCTTCTCTTTAAACCGATCAGAAAAATGTTTAAACAAGATTCCTCTAAAAGGTAAAAATCACAGTAAGACAATGAGCTAATGAGTCCTGGAGAGTGACTATAAAAGTAGATGTTTTGTGGGGATTATACTTTGCTTCACTCGGTTGTTTAGTCGTCTTTGTGAAACGGAGAAAAGGCTAAGCTCAGTCGTCTCCTCGCCCAGCCCTGAGGTCATACCTTTTTCATTAATGTTGATATTGGCTACTTCTTGACGTCAGCTCCTAGTTCTGAAAATAAATACGATGTATTTACTTACAGTCTTACTTTATTTATGGAAAATGTGTTGATCCTCAACTCGCAGATCTGAACCTGTCGGCTTTTATGATCCCATTGTTCCACCACGACCCAAAAACTCATAACTCGAGCTAGGCTCGCTACGTGAAACCAAAATCCAATCATGAAGTGGATTTGTTACTAAAATTAGTTACCCAAACTGATATTGATGAAGAAAGTCCGCCTTGCCTCACTAACTTGAATGATATTACTCCCAGTATGCCAGAAAACGGGTTTGGCAGGAATTTAATTTCGACATTCTCGCCATCAATTTCACTTTTTTTTTTCTTTCTTTCTTTGTTTCAAGTCCAGCTTAGAGTCCAACACAGTGAAACTATCTCCCTATGCTGCTTTGCTGCACTTGGTTTTTTCTTCTACATATGTTAGAAGCCCTGCATTGAAATGAAACCGCACTCTGAAAACTTGTGGAACTGACATTCAAGGAGTTAACTGAGTTAAAGTCGAGTCTTTGCATCTTTAGGCTAAAATACTTAAACACCTGATGAGCAAGTTTGGGCCGATGCAGATCTATGCAGCAGTAATTGACAGAGTTGCTCCTTTGCCTTTAGGGGCATCAGAAAGCATGTCTTGTATAGTGAAGCTAGATGCCAACTTTTTTGGTGTGTCATTCTGCAAGGTTGGATTCATAGCATGAAATACTTTTGTGTGGTTTTCATATTAACTTGTTTGCAACATTTGAACATTTTAAAATCTTAGCATTAACACTAAGCAGTGTCAGTTTTTAGGATGATGTTATAGCAGTGTGTGTTAAGCTTTTTACCTCTTTATTACATTATATTTAACATCTTTGCATCGAGTTTTGCATGTTGGCATCTTTGTGGAGAATTGATCTTTTTAAGATTGGTAGTGTCACATTACCCTTTAGCATTCATTATGTTATATTAATTTCTTAGTGCTGGATTCGGCCTTTTTAATAATTTTGTATTACATTTTATAGTATTTGACGACCTGTTTTAACGCATATTGTTGCATCGCGTTACCCTCTTACATATATTAGTGTTGTTCGTCTTTGTAGCCTCTTAGTAGAATTACTGCAGCACTGCATAAAGGCTTTGAACATTGTTGAGTTAAAGCTCTGAATATCGCAGTTGCTTCACAAAGTATATCCACACTAAATAGTAAAAAAAAAATTAAAATAAAATCTTTCTTTAATGTGAACCTTTGTGCTGTTATAAACATATTACATCACTGAACTCCTTAAGGAATGTCAATCTTGTTCAGGTAAATAAGCATTATAAATGTAAAAACGGCAGCTTGGCCTCTTTATTGCTATTCTTTATAATTTGCTACACTGAAACACGCGGTATTGTACTTTTAATTAGTGGCCTGGGGTGGATCTACGTGTCGGACTAGTCAGGATTTCAATGACGGATGAGTAACTTCATTCCTCTGAACCTGTTCGGTAGCCAGCCGGCGCGAGCGACTCTGTCGGTCTGGATTAAAGCGCTTCTTTTGCGTTAGTCTGCAGCCTATTCTCTACCTCCTCATGCTGTTCGCGAGGGGCGTGTTCACAGGAAACTTTGCAAAGTCCTCCTCGTGTCCAGCGCTGCCGGACGCTCTGTCACCCATCACATGGAGTTCAGCACCGAAGAGCTTCGTTTGGCCAGCGAGAAGCAAGGGAACAAAAAGGATCAAACTGAGGCTGGTTTTATGGGAGACAGTTTAGGTTTGATTTGATGATCTCACTAATATTCCTTGAGGAAGGAGGGGAAAAGCTGTGGCTGAAATCACCCGAATTAGCCGCCACCAACAATGTGGCACCTGAAGGTAAGAACCATGGAGGTCTAAAGCATGACAAGCTGATGTTTATCGTCTAGTTTTACCTATTGGGTAGCTAAGATCACACTTTAAGTCTAGGGAATTGCAAAGGATTATTTTTATGTTATGTAGTAACGTACTATTAAATTGAGTTGCCCCAGCGCCTCTGAAATGTAGTGGATGTGAACTATGTTGGATTTTAAATCTTGTCAAGCTGCTGTGTGGTAGGATTAGGGTTACAATGTGTAGCAACAAACCAAATTTTTAAGAACCTACGGCAGACTGTAATAATAATAGTAATTTACATGTGGTTTACATGTCATTCTGACTTGGAGAACGCCTACAAAAGCTTTAAGATCTCGTTTGTGGTTTCGTGAAGCCTTTATTTGATTGTAAGCAGTTTGCAGGTATTCCAAGTCGAATTGTTGCAACAGCACATTCATTCTTGTTTCATAATAGTTTGGTGTAGTTGAGAAAAGAAGCACGCTAACTGTGTT